ATATATACAGAAATGATCTAATGAGCACCGGTGCTCATCTTATCCTAAACACCAATGAGTTGGCACATTAATTCATTGGTGGATTGGAACTCACAAAATCTTTATCCACCAATGAATTAATGTGCCAACTCATCGGTGCTTAGGATAAGATGAGCACCGGTGCTCATTAGATCATTTCTGTATATATATATATATGAAGAAGAAGCAAATTTGTTATATAATTTTAATTTTAATTTTAATTTGTTGCACAGCCATTTCTCTCATTTGAAACATAAGTACGTTGTAAAGTAACAAATGTTAAAGTTGAAACCATTTTAAGGTAAAATAAAATCAATGGCAAAAGGTTAGAGCCATTGCAATAAAATATTTGAAAATGGAATGAAAATCATGTTTTCAAAAGAAAAAATTAAATAAAAATGTGATAACTGGAAGGCAATGTACATCTATCTACATATAGAAAGAAACTAATCTTTCAAAATATGCAGTATTAAGTAATAAATTTTGAGAAATTATTTAATATCTTTTTTTTTTCTTCCTCTTAAAAAAGAGATGGATTTCGCCCCTCACTTCTAAACAATTTTATTATTTTAGCATTATGATCAAATTATCAATTTGTTACTAGATAATGCCGGTGTTTGATAATAATTTAAAAAATAAAAAATAGTATAAAAATTATGTTCTGAACGTAATAATCATTTTTCAGTAAACACAAGAACGACACGTTGTCTTTTAAAGTAATGTGCATTATGAATATATTAGTATGCCAATTGTTATAAGCTTGTATCGAGAAGTTATTCTGTCGACACAAGTCTCTAATGAAGAGCAATAACATCTTATATGTAATATCTTGACGCATCACATTAATTTCTCTATTTTGATAATCTATAATGTCGACCTAAACGCCAAAAGACGCATTAATGCATGTTTATCTGTCAAATGAAACAAGCCTTTTTTTTTTTTAAGTTAAATAAACGAATTTTTTTAATAATTACAGGATAATATAATATAAAATAAAAAATTGCCTTTTAAAATTGTCTTCTTTCAAATTCATCTGATTTTATTTTTTTGAATAAATCCCCGTCAACCTTTTGCAAAAGAAATCCTACTACAAGTTTAATACATAGAATAAAGGGGGCAAGGGGAGAAAGTCAAATTAACTTTTTCTGCAAGCCTGACTTCACAGGAGATTTAACATTTTCTTCCTAAATTAAGCTGAATGTACAGAAAAATTGTGTAAAAAATTATACAGACTACTCACATGATGTGAGTCCCATCCGATTTAAATATTATTTAAAAAAGCGGACCCCACATGCATTGTGTCTTCCTTGTTTTCTTTCGTTTATGTAGGGCAAGGAAGGTTTTTTTTTCCTTGGCCATTTTTCCATAACGACTTTGACTTTGTCAAAGCCGCTCCTAGGTTACAGATCTTGTCTCTTGACTATTTGTTGTAAATTAAAATTAATAATTAATTTAATCACAAATTTTTAATTAAATATTTTATTAACTTCACTAAAAATTTTATTTTAATGTAAACCAAACGAGCTTTATGTCATTTGAATTTTAGATTGCAATAAAAAATTTCCGAGGAAAAAATAGTGAAGAATATATTTTCTTGTTCTAATTAGAGAACGTGAATGTAAATAAATAATTTCTTTTCATATTTAACTCCTATTTAACAACAATTATAAAAAAAAAAAAGGAAAAAATGATGTTACAAATAATGTTTATTAAAGAATGTGTATTTAAGAGTAGGAAAAAAATTTAAATTTACGTACAAAACATTTTATTATATGAATGTATGATTAAAAATGAGTATAACAAATAACGAATTTTGTTTGAATGTAAATCAAACAATGACTCAATACCTTTGTTAAAATACACATTTATTAATTTGGGTCGTGTTGTATAGAAATAATTTCATAGTAAAATTTACTTATTTACCACTTCGACTTCTAATAAAAAAAGTATTTATTCCAACATTTACTTATTTACTTATAAAAACTTATTTATAACTCAAATTTTAAAGCTTAAACAAACATGTTCCCAACAAATATTTCATACCAACCGAACAATGCATCCTTCTTTTTTCAGCCAACAGGCTCTAAATACACTAACGCTGGCAGGCACACTTTAGTCAACTTATTTCAAATCACCTGTGAGGTTTCAAAATCAACTGCTTGAGAATTTATAGAATTTCTTATGAACAGGTAAGATTTTTCAATCCTTTCCAAAGTGAATGAACACAGAAAATTGTCCTGATTTATGAACAAAATACGAGCATGTTCATCCCGACAAGACGAAAAAGACATCGCCAGGAACTAAATTTGTTGGTGCTGGTGCTCCAGGGTCCCAAAAAGCAAAGTTCAGTCGGCGCCAAAAATAACAGGAGAAAGGATTTGTGTATGTACAGTTCCAATATTTATTACTTATTTGGAGAAATACCTCTGGCTCTCATGTATGCTAAAAACTGGGAAGGCAGTTCTGCTAAAAGTGATTGAACGACAGAGATATCTCCACCTGCAAGGTAATGCAAATCATTTTCAGACGACATCAGATACTTGAGAGAGGGGGGCGGTATCAGCATGTTTGGCTAAGCATAAAAAAGGTAAAGTTACTTTTTAAGTAAATTTTTGTATCCATGCATTTTTGGGTAACTTTCTTTTTGTTTTCTTTTAAGTGAAAAAGATAAATTACTTTTTAAAACTTATTTACTTGTAAGTAAACTTCTTAAGCTTAGCAAACATGCTCTCATAGTCTAATAAAATTTGTGGCTTACTGTGTATGTCTCGCAATGGGACAAACTGAACTATGTCACGCGTTGCAACACGTCCGGCGGAACTTTCAAGTCGCTCTCCCTTATCTGCATCTAAAATCTGGAAGAAAAGCACAGCATGGATTGAAACAACCGAAATTACATGACTGAAAATAAAGCTGAGGTTCTCTGAGGAAGTACTTCAGACAATCAGAAACCAGTTAAGAAGAAAGAAAGAAGGATAAACCTCCATTTCTTTGAAGTCAGCTCCTCCAACCCCAATAATAAGTATAGACAGAGGCAGATCAGATGCACTAACAAGGGCATCCTTTGTTTCCTGGAGATCTGTTATCACTCCATCCTAAAATCATTTGAATGTGGCAAATATTGTTAAAATGCAAGGAATAATAAAAATTGATATGTGAAATCAGACAATAGTGACACCAATATGGTACAAATAGTTGCCAGTGATAGTCAGATTCTTTGACAAAATGCATTTAATAACAGACAACATTGCCTGAATTGAAATATGTTAATCTGCATTGCGTTCAGAGGAGATTCAAGGAAAACGTTTATGCATTAAAAAGTAGAATTTTGAACATTATTCGTCTGCAAAGCATACCGTAATTATCAACAAAATAAAGTACTTCCATTCATTGTTGGCTACAGATTGACTGGCAATAAATGCAGCATTGGTAACCACTGGTCCAAATAATGTTGGTCCTGCAAGCGAAACATTTAAAAGGGCACTTGTGTATGCCGTCATAATTCCCTGGATTCCATCAACCTGGAATTAGTGAATAATAATGCTCAGTATAGTGGTCATGCAGGAGAGAGAGACTCGAATTTTCAACACTGGTACTTTTTTCGTTCATCGCAAGTTCACCTCACAGTAATTACTGCTTCCATTTAAGTTAAAACAATGTGATACTGGTCCATCAATTGGCCGTGCTCCAAAACCCCAAGCAGGAAATTTTTTATCCGAATCATAAAACTGCAATACTCCTCCAACCTCTAAAATTGCCTGAATTGAGAGAGACAAATTTAGTAATATATTTTTTACCCCAAAAATTATGAAATCTTCATTAAAGAAAAGAGTGTCTTTACTCTCTGATATGCATTTGGCCGTCCTGAAGGATCAATATAGTGCAACGAATCAGGCAAGCGAGGATTACCATTTGAAGCTGAAAAAGAAATGTAAAAGTAAGTCAGAAGCTATTCAAACACTTGAGTGAAAGAGAAAAAGGTTGTCCCAAAAGTTAGGAGAAGTAGCATAAGGGTAATTGGGTCGGAAGGACCGAACATGTTACCCATTTTCACACCCATAACTTGTTTCTCTTGTACTCAAGTGTCTGAATAGCTTCTAGGTGATTTTTAACCTTTTTCTAAGCAAGAAGTTAAATCATATTCTCAAAAGACACTAAGTTCGAGAGACAAAAATAATTAAGAGGCTTGGTATGCATAAGCCAGTCAACACCAATGTTAAAGAATACTAAGGAGCAGAAATGAAAAAATAAATAAAAATTATACCAGTAAAATCAATAGCCACCATGAAGTTAAGCTCAAAACCTCCAGCCAAGTAATCAAGGAAAGTATACTGGATCTTCTCTGAATATGTATCCACAATCAACTGACTCTTTAAGACCTGAGTAGAACGAAAAAATACAAGCAGAGTTACATTTTGCTTCAAAATTCAACTCCTAAAGTAGGTTTTTACCTTGCTTTGATGATTCTGCCCAACAGACACTGGGATGAACAAATTCTCTCCCATGCCAACAGAATGTAGCTTTTCTAAGTCAGCCAGTGATTTCTGAACTTTTCTGAAAAGTTATCATACAGAAATGGCAAAATCAGAATCTCAGTCCATAAACTAGGTAGCGCATCCAGATGAAAGAAAGACGGCATTTACCCAATTAAATCATGTTTTCCGTTGCTATTGAAATCAAAACACTCAATGATTATTGGGCTGTCCTGCACCAATTAGAGTATTATTAAATCAAAAACCTATTGGAAATACAAGAAAACAGAAATTCCAGACAAAATATCCACATTCGCTATTGTTTTACAGAAAGTATCCATACAAATTTAATGCTGCAAGGAAATTGCGAACTTCAAGCAACTGATGATTAATATGTAGCATTGACAGTGTTTTCGGTCCTGACCTCAAAAGATTTCCAAACTTTCCACCAACTTGGTGAAAGAAAGGAAGTTTATTACATATGCAATATGGTTCAAAAGATGCAGAAAGGGGTCATGAAATATATAGTGGAATGAGGAAGTTTTTGTGTGTGTGTGTGTGTGNTTCATGTACCTTGCTTCCAACTTGTTGGATATTTAAGAAAATTGGTTTCCATCTAGGACTGTGATCATTTTTCAAGACTTCAGTTTTGCAGATTGGAACAGCAATACCAGTCTCCGTGAGCTTCGATATCACCAGAAAGGGGTCCTATAAAAACAAATAACATGATATGCTTTATATCAACTTTCTCTAGTTCAAAAAGAAAGAAGAAGAAGAAAAGATTCTTGAGTCTATACACTTTTTGAGAACAAATCCTTCGATTCTAAGTCTGAACATCTTAATATCAACTCTGCTGTAGTCTTTGATGCTACACTTTCTTCAGCATAAACAGTGAGTTGGCCAAACTTTTGTGTATGGGCTGGAGCGGAAAATGCTTCTCCAAGTCCAAGATCCAAGGTCAAAGACCTATTTGATTTTGTGACAATCTATATAGAAAAAAATGAGAGTTTCACATATTAAGAAAATAACTCTTTAAGTATGCATACTTTTGAAATGGAATAGGTATGATTTGTTGCATTTTCCACTGGGGAAAATGGATGAGCTAAGGATAGCAAAGATTTAAGAGGGAACAGAAAGGGTATGACCAGTAGCAGTTATCCTGCTAGTGCTGAAAACGCGTCTGTATTGAGAAAAGATATGCCACAAAAGTCATCTTACAGACTTGTGATGAAAAAAGCTATCATGAAAAGGCCAGATGTTGCAAGAACTTGGTTGATCACAAGAATCACTATTTTCTTGAAAGTGGATTGTCACATTAAATTCTGAATGATTCAATCAAAAGAAACCAACACATACATAAAATAATAATAAAAAAAAAAATACAGAGCATGGAACTTTGATGTGCAACATGACATAATATCCTCATGATTCATTTTTGGTAGTAACAGTTATAGTAGCTACTTGTTTCTTTAAGCCAAACACATTAGTCAAAATGGCAAGTGACCATACCTGTGACAATGCACAAGTAGCCTCGCCAAGAAACTGCTGCTCCTCCAGCTTAAGCACCTATACAAGAGAAAATGTTTTATTTAAAATTAAAAATTGTAGTTTTATTACAGATGCACTTTAATGAGAGTCTGAGTGCATATGTAAAAACAGGAAGAGTATCAAATGCTAAACACATTCTACAAGTTTAGAAAACACAACTGTAACGAGATGACAAGGAAACGATGCCTTGTTACGATTACAATATCAAAGAAAGACTCCTTTGATACTGTAAACTCTTAGTTCAATGAAGCTACTCAGAGAAAACCATAAATGAGCTTACACAAGGACAGCCGAAGGCGATTTAAACCAGAAAACAGTTGAAGCTGCCATAATTCATTATTCTATTAGACAACTCATGGTTTTTGAGACAACTATAAAAAGATAGTTTATGAATTATGCAAGTCTAATAAAATTTCAGGATAAGATATTGATAACTTTCAATATTTAAACCTCCCTTAATAATTTAGTATCCACTGATGCGTCAAAGGATAAATCGTGTATAGGATGTGAGAAACTGGCAATCTTTTTTAGTTGGTGTGGGGCCCAACAAATTTATGAACATCCAGAAAATGATGCTTTCTACAAGATTCAAGAAGTCCCCATCTTAGTAGTAAAACTCAGAAAGAATAATATTTAATATACCTTGACATCAGCATTGTGAAACTGTGTGTCTACATCATAGAGACGAAACCTGTGATGGAAGGTAGTTTGTTAAGATACACGAGCCTGACAAAATACAAATTAACAAGATACAAAAATAGATCAATGTGTCAATACTCACAACAAATACTGCACCGTCTCAAATTGATAAGTAAGAGTATATTTTCTGATCCACTTAGGATTCAATGAATTTAAAACTACTTCAGTGCGACCAAGCTCTTGAAGTGAACCATCACTTCCTTTAATATAGAGAACTGCCATAGGATCACTCTGAAATGAGAACAAGCTTTTTAAGATATTAGGTCAATTTTTCCACAATAAGATAAATGGCGTGTTCGGTAGAGATTAAAATCAATTAAAATTGAAAAACTAGTCATTATTGTTGACTTTTATTAAATGAGTGAGACCCAATAACGACTATATTTAATATTTTCAATTTTAATTGGATTTTAAGCACGACCGAACACGCCATAATACCAATAACTTAAGGGTATGTCACCTCTTATCAAACATGACAAAGAAATCTTATTACTCAAAATAACTAAAAAGAGATACGTAAACAAACCACTAAAGAAATTGGGTCTGGAAAACATCAAATAAAAGGAAAAGATTGTTTATGAAATCACATGCAACATATATTTCTATCATATATCTCGACATAGTTTTATCTATCAAGGAAAGGAGTACGTTATTGGTGATAGTTAGAAATGATCAAAGTTAATTAAGGGCTTGCCTTCAAACTAAAATGATTTGTCAAAGTATAGGGTAGTAAAAGCTATTAATTGATCGACTAACAAAAACCAAAATAATTGATGGTTAAAACTATGATGAGCTCGAAACAGAAGTAATACACCTTTAGAAGAACAGGGAATAACAAGTTTTTGAGGATTGGGCCAAAGGACAGGGAGAGGAATTAATCTCAAAACTCTGAGCTTATGTTACCAACTCCATGGGGTTGGGAAATAACAATTCAAGATACAAATATAAGATAAGATTGACTACTTGTGAATTGGATAGTATAAACTTTTTGGTAAATTTATTTACAGACCTTTGAGAGCACATCCCGGTCAAGCAAATTTGAAGCAGATAGAGACAGCTGCACGTTATTAGAAAAGTTATTTCCAAAAAATTAAAGTGAACTACAGGTATAAATATTTAGTTGGAATAGAGCACTTCTTTCTACTTGCTATGACTTGGATTGATTAAATTGAACATCAGTTCATGTAAAACTGAAAGAGCAGGATAAAGCAAAATATTAAAGAAGGAATAAATCAAGAGAATTCATCCATGAAGGCTAATCCTGGCTTCATAGCCCAACACTAAAGTGACACACTTCACTAATTATCGAAGATAAAAGTAAGGGTATGTCAGGGTTTTCAAGCAGAGAACCATGAATTTTCAACTGCAAAAGACTACATTCAAGCTCACTTTTAGTGGACCTATCCTAGTTTCCAACTAGATAAAACAAGTTATATTTTCATTTGTGTTAGACTACCTTTCAACTAGACCTGTTAGCTGCTACCAGACAATGAGAAGGAAGCACACCGTGCAGTATTATTTCCTAAAAAACTCGAGAATTAAAAAAATGCAAATACGACAAAATTTGTTTACTATAAATGAAAACATAATGGTATTCTAGAGGTACGTCACAGGTGTTTCCAGGTTGTCACAGAACACCATAATAGCGTGTTACACGAAAGTTTGAATCAAACCTTAAACAGAGCAAAACCAATATTTTTACTAAATCTTAAACTATGAATGCCAGAATCCCAGATGTACTGAGTGTGATTAATCCCAATTTATTAATGTTCCTAGTGAGTCATGTCCCACATGTAACCCAAAGACACGCCCAATATTTGATTAAATAGGAGGGAGTCAAACATGGTCTGTATTAACAGTAGACATGACCCTTTTGCCATAAGATTACTTCAGATGTATTAGCTTAATTTTTAATCTGCAAGTAACGACGAGATGGGTCTGTATAATAAGTGACAAGATCGCAAACTACCTCTGCCATTATATTTAAGCAGACCGCGTACTGGAGTCTCCTCATCAATATTTGGAAGTTAAACCCATCAAAAGAGTGCATATGGGGTCTTTAATTTACCTTTCCCATTTAATATGTCCATTTTACAACCAATTACAAGTTTTCCACGTGGTGAAAAAACTGTAACATAGGGAAAAAAAAAAAAAAAAACTCAACCAAGTACTACTCTCTCAAGATGGCATAGTTTAAACGATTAACATATATACCTCAAAACAACTTATTTCCTAATATACTCAATTGACATAGTGGGCAAAATGATTTAGCAATTCTCTTTCAGATCTCTTGGCATGCTGCAAAAAAAGAAAAAAATTCCTTGTAAAAAAGGTCAGTTATCTAATGACAATTGATTCAGCTATCTATTGGCATTTCCTAAAATTTCCACTGTCACACGACACCTACTCGTGGCACATGAAATATGAGACACAGAATCAGAGTTTGAAAATAACTAAGCATAAATCTTAACTACAATGTTCCTAATTTAACTAGCTAGAGTCATAGGTTAACTCGTACTTTTGCTAAACAAACTGCTTGTGTACATAGATTGGCACGTGGAATACGAGTCTCAGAATCTAAGTTTGAAAATAAACAAGAAGCCCACCCCCCCGGCGGGTGAAGGGGCCGTCTACCCAACGTGCAAACAGCAAAACCAAGTTGCTAAGCATCAGTCTTCACTTCAATGTTCCGATTTTAAGTTGCTAAACTCACGATTACAAAAACTGTAAGTAAACTAATTATTCAAACTAGTAACTGATTCTAACTTCATTCCTTCAAAAAGAGACTTTACATAATAATGGTACACACTCCATTAACTTAAAGTTGTGCAGATGCACACACACATACACTATTATAGAAATTGTTAACAAGCTTAAGAACGCGTGTACTCAGTTAAATCTTGTACTCATCATGGCCCTTTTAGGTCGGGTTAATTTGCACAATTAGCTCTCATTTAAAAGGTCGAGCCATTAGACAGGGAAAAGCTGTATTAATTTAAATCTTGTAAAGAATTAGAGTACCTCGATCTGAGAGTAGAGGCCCTGATAACCACGAGAATTTAGGAAGGCCTCCACGGCCTCGTTCGGAGCGTTGACTGCTGAGCTGGTGTGATATGACGCGGTGCCTCCGACGGCTGACTGGCTGCCGGCCACGTCGGAACAGCAATTCCCCATCGCTGCCGCCTCTTTTATAGTACTCTATTCTACTTTGAAAATGGTAAGAGAAGTACTTGAAAATGAAATTTACATATATACAGAGGGTACATAAATATCGCATGTGGAGGGAGAGAGAGTAGAAGAAAGTGGCCCACTTGTCTGCCCATTGGCCAATGCCGCGTTAGACACTTACTTCATAGATGAACAATTCTTTGTATTTCGATTTTGTACTTTGAATATTAAATTTATGAAAAATGTTATTCATCCCCAATGGAGATGTATCATCAGTCTATGTGGATGTAAATGATTGATTAAATGATAGGTGAAATTAAATAACTTATTTAATTTCACCTATCATTTAATGCCACATTAACGCCACATAAACTGGGGATGCATCCCCAGTGGGGATGAATAACATTTCTCTAAATTTATTTTGAGTTGTGTTTTGAGTATCATTTTGAGATTGTTGAAAATGTATTCTTTTTAATATTTTAAAAAATTATTTTCAAAAATAAAAAAAATGTAAAAATTGTGCAGTGGTTGTTGGTGGAGATTGAAATCACCCAAAGCGCGTTTTAAAAATTTTAGCTTAATTATAACTGAAAACATCCAAAACAACAAATTTGTCGTCTTCAATTTTTTTTGTAAATTTTTAACTTTTTTCAAAAAATTGAAAACACTGTTTTGAAAAATTGAAACTAGAAAACGATTTGAAAATGGTAAAGAGAACGAGCCCAAAGTTTCTGTTTGACAAAAATTGAGTCAAAAAAAATTTCTCAAATATATTTTCAATTTCATACTATAAAATATTTTACACATTGACACAAAATGAAAAATAGTTGTGATATTTTGACGATCTTTAAGTAATTAATGTTTATTTATTTATTTGAAAGGTAACGTGTGGAAGTTCCAGTGATGCACATTTTGTTTCTTATTATTTGGTGTGTAATATATGTCTGTTAATAAACAAGGTTTAGATCTAATGGTTCATAATTTGTTTTATAAGAGACTGAGTCGTCTTCAAACTTTTCAAATATTTTGATAAAAAATAATGAAATATATTGTTGAAAAATTATAGATCCCATAAAACGTTGGATTAAAATTAAATATTAACTTTTACTTATATGTCAATCAACTTTTATAATTGAACCAAAAAAGGGACCAATCCACTGCAAAGTCAATAATAGTAAGCAAATGGGAAGGCAAATACTAAGAAATTGTGCTACTACAAAAGAAGAACCAAATACATAAAATAATTAGTCATGAAATTCATCGTTTATTAAGTTAGTCCCCGTTTGGTACACATTAAAATTTTCATTTTCATTCTTCTGCTCATTTTTAACCACACATTCTCCATCGATCTACTATTTCAGAATACATTCTTCCAAAATAATGTGGGTCAAACACACCCTTAATATAAGATTGACTAAACTAATATTTTGTGGGCCCATATTCCATTACAGAATTATAATTATAACTCTAAACCCTTACAAAAAGTGACCTTAATAAATATTAATTAAAGGTTGTGCAATTGCTTTAGGAAACATTACTGATTTTCTATATATGATTACTCGGTCGGATGCATATAACTTGTGCACTACTTTTACGGCTTTCATTGAGCACTATTTGTCTACATTCGAAATGACATTATGCCTCACTTAGATTTGGGGAAGTAGAGTTTTTTTAAACCCTATCTCGCCTCCTTCATAAGAGTCTTCGACAGAGCATGGGACCGGGGAGGAATTGCCATCCTAATTACAGTGATGGAGATGAACCGAGAACCAAAAACATGATTAATTAGACTCGTAATTAAATTGTAACCCCATTTATGTTTCTTAAACCAAAAATGAGCTGGACCATCATGTGGATTTACATGCACATATCACTCATGAAGGATCCAATGCCCCCACTAAGATTTATGACATATTCTATATAAGAAAGTTTGTCGGACCTAGCTATACTGCAGGGGCCAAGAAAAGGGGAAACATCACTTGTACAATCTTGGTTGACAACCTCTCACGGTGGTGGATCCCAATATGTTTTTAAAAAATAAAAAAATTACCCACCCACCCATCCCATGTGTGAATGATTGTCAACCTCAGTTGTAAAAGTAGTATAGTCTCAAGAAAAGATGCCCCCCTAGCACTGCCAGGGCCCACGTGGCCCTGGCAGAGTGGATAAACCCAACTCTATCTGTATTGTCCCCAAAAGCCAATATAAGATATTAGTCAAAAGATGATGAAGCCCTTGTTTTATCCTTTTTTTTTTGTTTCAAAATACATATTTCTCTCTTCTTTTTCATCAAGCATTCTTTAATAAAATAATATTACACGCAAATCCAAAACTTTTCTTTATTTTTTAACCACACATTCTTCATCAATCTACTATTTCAAAATGCATTCTACACGAAAAATTGTGCTTAAAAACAGGCCCTTAAGAAAAAAAAAAAGAAATAATATTTTTATTAATTATACCACAGTTACCACTGAATATAATCCAATGGAACAATACTTCCACATCAAATATTGTCCCGTCAACGACCACAAGGTCAAGAAGTCAACCACTTAAGAAAGGTCAAGAAGTCAACCACTTGAGAATTATAAAGTGGGGCAATATTGACGTGCAACAAGAGCTGGAAATTACACAATAGCATACATTAGCCTAAGATGTTTTTGCAAGTTGCAACTTCTATGTTCCTGATGCTAACGTTTCATCATGTTCAACTCCGCAAATAATACTAGGATTAGCGGATTATCCAAGGTGTCCCCAAAGTAACAATGAAATTTAATGTTAAATATTTGAACAATGAGAATGAAAATAGCCCATAGTAAGTAGGAACAAGGCATCGAGGACAACAATTGAGATGTGAACTGGAGATTTCATGGTGCATTTTCTATCACAGAGAAAAAACAATCGAAAAATTTGAGAAAAAACAATCGAAAAATTCAAGTAAGGTTCACCCATAATGTTGTGCGTATCATCTAGCAAAACATCCCCCCACCCCCGCCCAGGCGCTAAACTTATGTCACCTAGCACATCGTGTTCATCCTACCCTCACCCCAAACCCAATTAACATCCCGAGAAGTAGATTCCATTACTTGAATATGATGGTTGTGGTTCCTCGTTTAGACAAAACTTCAAAAACATTGGAAATGAGGAAAGCACATAATGTAGAGCAATAGTTTCCCTTCAGCAACTCGTAATTTTATGCAATCCGATGTTCAAATCAGAAGAGGTGGAGATTAGCAATGGGAGAGAATGATGCCATGCGGCTTTGAAGACTCGTTTCTGATGAGCTCGTATAGACTGAGATGGTTTGTGAGCATTATATCTGATATCAAATATGTGAATGATGGGGTCAGCTGAACCAGACGTAACGTATAGACCATTGGGTGACCAAGTCTGATTTATAAGAGCCGATTGTGATTCACTACTTTCTTGCTTCCACCCAAATGAGTGGATCATCGTCTGCCTCTCTCTCACATCAAAAAGTCGAAGCTGACGTTCTGGAGTCCTGCAAGAAGGCATGCTATTAAGCTCAATAATAGCAAATGAAATGTGTATAATTCAAAAATTCTAGCAAGCAAAATCGTTCTTCCAACTCAACAATATTACAAGAAATAATATGATATTGTATGAAAATAAAGAAATAAGATAAAAGGAAACAAAGTCAAAAACTTCAAGATGACACGGGACTGCATATCAGAAAAGTAAGTCTCTAATGACAGTTATAATAAAGGAAATTCTTGCTTTGTAGCTCTACATGTGGATCTAAGCCCCGTCACTAAGGGGACTCAAACAAAACTAAATTTGCACCAGAAGAAAATGGTTAACTGCTCATGTTTCACGGTTCATATTATAATACAACATTTTAATGTACTTTACATGCGTTAATACACCTATTCAAGTCTCATAAATAGTTCAAAACTTCTAATCCGAGTCATCAAAATACCAAGGTTTATCACAGGGTCACAGGTTTACCGTTGCATGCAATAAATTACTTCAGTCAGGAACATTTTTTCCTTAAAAAGGTGGAAGGACTCTGATCAACCTCCTCCAGTTCCAATTTGATGAAGCAATACTTCACAAATTTCTGTCATACTCTACTCCCAAACAATGGATTTAAAAATTCTAAATCGATAGGCATAAGTTTAATTTGCAGTAGTACAATTAAAAGATGCAAATACATTACTTTCACAAGAGACAAATGAATATATTTTCAGACCTTTTGTAGATGCATTTGGGCCAACTAAAGATTTTGGGATACTCTAGTTGGTGTAACCCATGATTCTGTTTCTTATAATAAAATACTAGAAATCATAGATATATTAACCCAAGAGGTACGAAAAGATTTTGAGGATAAACTTACCCTGTCTGAACCATAAAGAGGTTGAAGTCACATGGATTAGGCAAAACGCTCATGCATTTGCTATCTATTTGATTCTTGTAATCGATTCTCTCAGCTAATAAATCAAATCCAGTTATCCGCTTATCCGCACCAGCTGACATCACAACTTTCTTATGCTGCATCCCAGCAACCCCCATCACAGCAGAGGTATGAATACTTCTATGCAATGCTTTAGGTTTCCATGAATTCTCACCATCTTTCTCGGTCCACAGGACTACTGCATGGTCGCTCCCTCCAGTAACAAAGCATGTATCATCCCAGGGCATGAACATGATGCTGTTGATAATGCCTTTCATGTGAGGCTTTTCTTTTAGAAAAGTGACGCTCAATTCCTGTGGACGTTTATAAATTGATTCAGATTGCCACCCTGATTAGGTATATAAAGAGGCATGACGTTATATATTGGAACACAGTAATGTTGTAAATGTCATATATATCTAAAAGGCATGACACGTTTTAATAAACCAATTTTGTATTATTATCAATACCTCTTTTTCATTATCAATATTCAAAATTGATATCTGAGAATCCTCATTATCTGCACTATAAACTGAGAAGAGGCTATTTCCCTGTGGATGCCAAGCAATATCTTCTGGCCATCTCCTCTTGGACGATTGACAATCAGTAGTACTTAGAAGATTGGCACTTGAACTGCACTTATATGTAATGAGTACAATCCAAGTCAAAAAGCTTCAATTAAGAAGTGTACAATACTACCATATGCCAAGGGCATTAGAATCTGCAATCTTTTTTCGTTTTTTTTTTTAATGTACAAAATCAAATATATTTGATAACTTGGAAGGACTTCCTTCTAGTTTGGAGGTTGCTTTATATGATAAGAACATACCCGATGTCCTGAACTTGCCACAAGTTGACCAGTCCATCCAGTGCACTGTAAACAAGCATTCATATGCATGAAAAAAGAAGTTACAATCTAGAGAACCATACGGCACAAAAGATATACCACACGCAACCCTAGGTAGACTCATATGTCACAGAAGTTCTATTTGTCATCAAAATCCGGAAGAGAGAAAGACAAAAGCTTAAAAGTAAGTGATGCATGCAAAAAGGCTCAATAGAAGTTTTTAGTTGTGGTATAATCGACTTATGGTTCTCATCAAATAAAAAAATTAATTAGAAGCTACAAATTACCTGGTCACAAATAGTTGATCATTTGTAGGACACAGCACAAGACATCTTAACTTCCTTTTATGTTGACTAGCTAGCAGAAGGCCTGTCTGGCAGCGCATAGTGCGAGGTGATGAGCAGCTGTTTATCAACGGAATCAATTCTTTGTGTTCTTTCTGCTCTGTATTTTACAAGAAATAATTATGAATAATTCATCTTAGCTGGGAAATAGTATCGCCCACAAATATGAGAAAACCTTTTACGTTTCGGACTAGAAAATCACATAAATAACTGACAATATCCACAAATACAGATCAAAAGCTCAAAGAACTAGTAATTTAAAAGTGCAGAAGGATTTAACAAACATGTACCAAGGTTCCTTTTCGTTCCTTCAGGTAGAGTTTCCAAAGTATGCTGCTCAGGTGATATTCCACGAGCTTTGTTCCCTTTAAGCTTTACAATGCTATTGGCATGAGGGGGCATTGATGCATTGGACCAAGAACCAGAACCACTGGGAACTTCATTTCCAGATTCTTTCATCTTTGCACATTGCAGAGTGTCTGCAGCAGGAATGACAAGCTGTGGTTTAGACTTGGTTTTTTGCGAAGAATCTTCATTTTCGTAGGAAGGACTAGCTGGTTTTCGCACATCTGCAGAAGGAGTGACAAGTTTGGGTTTAGACTTGATTTTGTTTTGAGAAGAATCTTCATTTTTATAGGAAGTACTGGCTGGTTTCCACATGTCTACAGAAGGAATGAAAAGTTGAGGTTTGCTCTTGGTTAGGTTTTGAGAAGAATCTTCATTTTTATAGGAAGGATTAGCTGGTTTTTGCGTGACTTTCAAATAATATCCAGGCAACTTTGAGGTCTCCTCGCCTAAATGTGGTATAGATTGAGACTCGTCGCGAGAAGTATCTTTGCTGACCCGAATAGGACTTGCAGATCCTCCTTCAACTTTTACCTCTTTCATACCATTCCCAATAGAAGTTTTCGAAGCCATTATTTTACCCCTCCCTCGAAGACGAGCCAATTTGATTTGCATCTCTTCCAACCTCGTTTCTGCTTCATCAAGCTGCGGACCGAATACAAATTAACATTCATCCATATTTTCCCACAACGATACAAGAACAGTTTACACCAAAGCGTTAATTTCATATTCATTTAACAGTAAAATGGATGCAACTATTATGCAGCTCACCGAAATGCATGGCGTCAAGTACATGTAAAAATTTTATTATTTCGGACTGACACAAGGTACAATCCACAAGGGCCATAATCAAGGTAAAAATATTAAGGGTATGTTTGGGAGAGATTTTTTCAAGTAAAAAAATGATTTTTTTTTTTGAGAATGTGCAGTTAAAAAGAAGGGAACGGGTCCCATAGAATGTGGTTAAAAATGATTTTGGGGGAAAATGATTTTAAAAAAAATCTCTTCCAAACAAATGCTAATAACTAGCAAAAGCAACTTCTTGTCATCTTCGACGAGATTAATAAAAATGAAGCTGATCAATACATTATATTACTATAGTTGCTATGACCAGGAAAATAAGCATGTAGGCAAATCCAAGAAAAGATCCTTTAGAACAATCCAGATTGATCAAACTTAAAATACCAATTAAGTTCACAATCAGCAACTGTTAATTGATATCAGACTCCAATGTCCCATAGTGACATTTTCCTCTGAATGACTTGGATGTTGCAGAGGTCATCCCTAAAGTTTTAGCTGTCTCCACGGATACAATAACCAGATGCAGTGCTCAAGGACAGTGCAGTGAGACTCACTCCCCTAGCCAGCTATAGGCCGAAAAATCAGAAAGTATATCATCAGTCCATAAGTTACATCTCAAAGAATTGAGTCCCACTGATCATTTAGAAACTAATATCCCAGAAG